CTATACCATCGGTGCTGTACTCAATATAACACTAAATAACCACAAAACTACACAGAAACCAGCTTTTTTCTATCGAATTCTCCGTAAAACATCTCCGCGATTACCGATAGAAAGTAAAATTCGTCAGGTAACTAACTAATGTACCTATTTGTCGACGGAACAAATGACTGAGTAGATTATCTTATCTACAAAGTGTATATAGATTACAGCGCACGTTACTTGTTTGTTTTACTAATTACTCGCGATTTTTTAATGTTTTGTTGGGCTTCTCGGCTACTAACAGTAACAGGTGAATGTTACTGCAACGACCTTGATTCCTTTGTAATTACCGATGCACCATATTCAAAATATTTTCGTCTTTATGTTAAGTAGTTTTAGCGTATCGACACGTTGTAATACCAAAACAACCATAAGTATTATTTAATACTAACTGTTTAAAGGTTGAACGTAATTATTAGTGGCACAGCGTTGCCATTTTTTTTATCGATTAATTACTACACATTTCGGTGTTTTAATATGTGTGTATATGTGCTCTGTTTAGATTTACTTAGTAATCGAAATAGTAGAGTATTATTTTATAATTATGGTACCATGCTAGCGCAAATCCTTATAATTATTATAGGCTTGGTTCATTTCAGTTGATTTCAACAAATTCCGACTGCAGCGCTTCAACGGCAAAAATCAGAAATTATCCGTAGGTACCTATTCCATGCCGTCTTCATATCGATCGCATTAAAATAATATTGAAATCGTGATTTTGTCATCATAAACAAGTGAGTAAACAAAGTGCTCGGTACATAATCAAAAAATTAAATAGACATATAGTATACTAGCGTGTACCCGCAACTTCGTTCGCGTTGAATTAATCATTTGTAATGGTGATGATAAAGCAAAGCAAGAATTTCCATTAACATACAAACTGGATAAAATTTTCTCACATTTATGTCAGCATCAGAAAAAACAATATGGCGATATTATTATATATAACTTGGTAATATTGATATTGTTTCATCTCGTTGGAATTTGACTTTCGAAAAATCCGTTTGCCAAAAATAAGCTTTTTACGTCAAGCAGTTTAAGTAGAATCGTGGTTAATCAATTACCCAGCTTTTTGGAACACCATGTATGTTTTTTTTAAATTTCAAAATAAATAAAAAAACAAAATAAATTATGCGTGTCCCAGCGTTTTCCCCAAAGACTAACCGTTTTTTAAATAATAAATATTGTAATATTTGAGGGGCGTTTTCACCCTCTTGGAATTTGAGATTCGAGAAACCCCTCCTTATCGAACCTCTACACCCCACAATCAATACGTTTGCCAAAAATCAGCTTTAAACGTCAAGCGGTTTAAGCCAGAATCGCGATTATTCAATGATCATATTTTATGAAACACCCTGTATAAATTTATAAAAAATCTTAAAATATGTAAAACAACAAAATAAAATATGCGTGTTTAAGAGTTTTTCCGAAAAACTCACCGGTTTTTAAATAAAAAATATTTTAATATTTGAGGGATAGTTCCACCCCCTTGAGTTTTTGAATTTGAGTTTCGAAAAATCCCTTCTTATCGAACCTCTACACCCTAAGGTCAATCTGTTTTCCAAAAATCAGCTTTTTACTTCAAGCGGTTTAAGCAGGATCGTGATTAATCAATGACCAGATTTTTCGAAACACCCGTATACATTTTTAAAAAATCTTAAAATATGTAAAAAAATAAAATAAAATATACGTGTTTAGGCGTTTTTTCGGAAACGACCGTTTTTTAAATAAAATTTATTGTAATATTTGAGGGGTGGTTTCACCCTCTTGGAACTGGAATTTCGAAAAATCCCTTCTTATCGAACCTCTACACCCTAGAATCAACCTGTATGCCAAAATTGAGCTTCTTACGCTGAGTGATTTGAGCAGGATCGTGATTAATCAGTATGTCAGTCACTTAAGGATTTTATATATTAGTATAGACTATGAGAGGATAAAATATAAAATATAATTTGCAATATTAATGGTATACTTTTTTTAACACTAGTGATAAAATGTTTTATGAACAATGTTCAATTATGATACAATGTTGTTGGGATTTATTTACATTTTATGTAACTAGTAATACGGGGAGACCCGAGGAGAGATTATAATTATTTTTGTGCATTTTAATAGTTTTCCGTATATTTCAATACATTTGGCGCCCAACGTGGGGCAAGTGTAAAACTTGGAAAATAAGTTGGTTATAATAATGGTTTTATAATTCGCAAACTCTCTACGTATTTATCTAGTAATGCTAAAACACTCTATTTGAAAGTCGATTAGAGAAAATAGTATGATTCATTGGCAAGTAATGAAAATATTTACGATCCGGTAAAATTGTGATGTAAGAGGAGGCTTAGCTTGCCTGAGGCGAATCAGTAGTAGATAGGTCGGCCGACTATTGTGTTGTGTTTTGTCATAGAGCTGATATTTGGGGGTTGAGAGTCTTTTGACTATAAACGTTGTAAGTACTGTAAGGCAACGGGTCGTTTGACCGGAAGAAAACCTCTTGTGACGTCTTGCCTTCGAGGTTGGTCTTGAGAGTTTGAGGTCTCCCTTGTCTTCTCGATTGACACGATGCACAGTGCTTCGAACATATGGCTCTAGAGGACAAAAATCAAAAACTTCTCTTTTATTGTAAGCAATTTATTCAAACTAGGTTTATTTGAGACAAATGATGAGTACTCTCATTGTACTAAATGATGATGTTCTTAGTCCCACGTTTATGAAAAAAAAATCTTATAAATAATAATAATGTTGGAGCTGTGTTCCATCTAAGCAAATAATAAGTTATAGTATGAAAACGGTGTAAGTATTAAATAAATTCCTGTGATAAAAAGAATTGAAATAACATTAGAACATGATTCCTACAAAATAAGCCTAATATAAGATAAAATGTTTTTCTTTAATGAAAAGAAACATTAATGTTATATTTAATTAAAAAAAAACTTAAGATACTATAAATTTACTTTTGGACAACAAAATGCATAGATCGTAACTACTCTGATTCAGGAGAATCACTGCTGACAGAATCTTCCAAATTTATAGTATCCAAATCACAGGTAGTTGAAGTATCCTCACATATAAGATATTTCTGTACATCATGTTCTAATATGTTACTTTTTCGCGTTGTTACTGTTCATTTTGTCGGTATGAGGGGTTCGGATGTTAATAGTTACCTCTTTAATAGACCATATCCATATATTATTTTTTCCTTTTCTTGGGTATGAGATTTTATAATAAATTGAAAGATGGACACTTTTTTATGCGACGTTTCGCTCCAACATAGTGGACTTTTCAGACACACAAGTGGTGTCTCATTTGACTGGAAGGTTCATCAATATCTAATAAGAACATATTTTTTGAAATACAAATAATTTGGAGTTCTTGTCCTTATGATCAAGCCAAGTATTAGCCAGATCGGCATTGCTTATCAATTTTACTCCATCTGAAAAGTATTATAAAATAAAAGTTCGTCGCAAGCAGACGCAGGTGAACTATACAAAAATTAAAAAGTGTATGAATATGGCAACAAAAATATTCAATAAATACGATATGTTTTGATATGTTTTTTTTAAATGCCTTTTGAAGTTTGAAAACGTAAAATTTTTATACCCATTTAAGAATCATCTTAAAAATAAATAAAAAATAAACAATCACGAACTTGTTTAGAAATAAATTTAAAGTACATACCTTGTTTAACAATATCCATAGTGGCTTTCAATTAAAGTACGTACCCGTTTAACTCCATAATATACAGAACTACTATGAATGTTATTCTTTTCACTGATGAGATAATAATCGCAAAATTTATTTTTAGTGAAAATATTTGCTAACAAAAACGCTGTTTATGAAAAATAATATACAGGATGGTTGAACATTGCTATAAGCATAAAATTATATATTCAGATATTAGTAAATTTTAACTTATTTTTTGATTTTTGTCCATGGGACGAAGCACTGTGCGATGCGGCGTTGGGGTAGTGAGCTACCCCAATTAGCTTATTCGATTGGGATGCGAATCTGTTTAGCGAAAGAATTGCGTCCGGGGGAAGCCCCTATACTATTTCAGGTGACACTAGCTAGTTGTTGAAGATTATTAACCAATATATAACCGAATGATATTTGAATTAGATGGAAAATATGGAATGGGATATATTGAATAGAATATATCAGTGGCTAGGGGGCGGAGTACCCCCGGGTGAGTCTTACTATTTAATTATCAATTTTATCCAGATCAATAAATGTTTGTTTTGTTATTTTCATGTACAATGAGAGAGTGCTTGCCAATGACCAACTAAATGGATATTTGAGGTGAATTTGCATTGTGAGACCCGGTTGAGTAAGTCCCAGAAATAAGCGATTTTACACAAGATAGTAGTATTTACTCCAAGACCTAAAGCATCGATTTCCGGTTCCGGTGCCGTAAAACAGCGGATGTAATTTGGCGGCCGTCCTCGGCTGTTACAAAATAAGGTACGTTAAAATACTGTGCAAATAAAATCAAAGATTTTCCTTGATTTGAGTAAGAACAATCTTTGGATTGTTACGGGATTTTGAACAGGACCCTGTCTCCTCAATGAACTAGATCTAGATTGAAGCTAAGAAACAACGGCGAATGCAGATTCTGTGGGGTAAATGGGGAAACACCAAAACACATCATCACTGAGTGCGCCGGGACGACAACCATTCGTACCATAAACTTTGGTACGACTGATATCGGAAATGGAGAACTAACTTCGGTCGTAAAACCAGATAACAGATACTGGCTTGATTCCAATGACAAAAGGAGGACACGATAAATCTACAAAATACGATGATTAACATCATCCCTCCCATTCAATCTACAATCTACAGCTGTTCTTTTGCGGAACCGCTTTGCAGGAAACCGAAGCTTTAGGAAGTCTTGATCTTGGTCATCAACAGAGATAAAAGACTTGGCAACAGATCTGAATAGGTCGCAGTGGAGAAGAACTCACCTGAAGTAAGCGACACCTGGCTGGTATCGGAGCCTTTCCTCGAATGTCCTGAGGCGCCGCTCAGCGAGCCCAGCGACTTGGCGTCGGCCTCGATGAGTCGATTGGCCGCCTCCAGCTTGGCCAACAGCTCCAGCTCGTGGGGCGGCACGGGCGGCCGCGGCTGCTGCTGCTGAGTGGGCGACGGTTGTTGTTGCGGGGGCGACGGACTCTCGCTAGTGTCGGGCCTCATGGCTGCTGCGGGCGGCATGGCCCGAAAAGGCGGCCATCGGTCGATGTGCAGCCGGATGGAGGATGGTGGCCTGAGAGGGTGCAGGGGGAGACGATGCAGATCTGGAACAACAGAAGAAGGTTGTGAATAAATTGGTACACTGAAAAATTAATTTGTAAATTTAATGACAATATTGAGGGTTATTTCTTGCCACAGATTATTGTAGTAAATTTACCATCCGTTCTTTACTTTTTTAACTCGTTTGTAAAATCGCTGTTTGGCTAATTTGTGGCATGCATGTAAATATGTTATAATATATCTTTATATTCACCAATATCTTTGTGAATTTATTTTAAAAACATGTATCTCACAGTAAATTTACTTATTCATTGTAAATTTATCTTTTAAAATCAATATTTAGCGTTTTTCAAAATTTGTAATGGTTTTGCAGACAATTTTTGCGGTTTTATATTTCATAGGGCATTTTCACAGTAATTTTCTCAAACCCACCCAATAATTTTTCTCTCGTATTTTGCCGTTGAGAGAGCCATATGAAATAATACTGCGTGTATCTGAAAAACCATTAAAAATTTTGAAATACTTTAAATACAAAAAATATATATTTTTTAATTCTTCATGTTTTTAAAAATAATATACAGGGCGTACCATTTAAAAAAAAACAAGGAAAATTTATTTTATATTTTAGAAAGGTTGGCGTAGAATTTTGAACATCCTGTATGATTTAAAACTGCGGTATTCATAGCAAAGTTAAGTTTAGACCATCTGAAGTAAATATCTAATATAGTTTTGATTTCCGGACAGTTCTTGTATTTTTAATATATTTTTTAAGAAAAGCTGAAAAAAATTTTTCATTTATTTATTAATATCTCTAAAACTATCGAAAAATATAATATATATAATATAATATAATTTACTCATATCTTAGGATTCTGTAAAGTGATCTGAAATAAGCTAAAAATGCAATAATATACAATTTAAAAAAAATTATCCCGATCCACTCACATTTTTTTGAGCCGCTAAAGCTCTAATAGAAGTTAAAATATTTTCCTGAAATACATCCTCGTACGTACTTAAACAAAATTCTCAAGTTTTTTATTCTAGGAGCTACAGATGACCGACGCACTATTGCCGAACCTTGTATATGGTAGAGTCTATTATGATCCAATCCTTTTTATATTACAGAATGCTCAGAGTGGAACGACCCCACGAATAAGAATTGTTTTTATTTTTCGGCAATAACGAAATCGTAAAACAATTCCTAATGGGTTTTGGCCAGCCACCGTGCTCGTATCTTCCAAAACTATCCAACTAGTAGCCTTTAATTATGTTTGGCAACGGATGAGATTGTAAAATGGATGGAACGATGGTCGAAGAGAGATAATAAAACGTCAGTGAAAAATAAACTGTTACATGCAGTAAAATTTACGTTTATTTCCATTGGCACTATATCTACATTAAAGAGATATTTTGTATTGTTTATTTCTTAGTGATTTACTACCGGATTTTTTTCTGTATTTGCATCCCCCATTAGTGACGTAACGTGAGTAAAAAAGTTTTCTAAAATCGAAAAAAAATACTATGTGGTTTTATTTCTATTACGCATTATACTTACCCTTCTTTGGTACATATAGGATTAACTGTTTACAAGGCTTTTATAAAATAACTGAAGTGTATTTTATACTTATCGCATTTTACATAGGAAATGTAAAGCAACCGTATGAATGAAGATTATATCGAGGATAATGCATATATATATAGCGCATATACGTAATGCAGCTCTGCGTTCGGAAGTCTAATAATATTCTTTTGTGTTCGGGATCAAAAAAGGACTGAAAAAAAGAAACGAAATACGTTGCCGCGCTCGTACAAAAAGAATAAAATTGACGACCGGTTTATATCTAGAATTCTTTTTAAAGCCATGCATATGCAATACGAGCGTTTAAAATGTACAAGGAAATTGCATTTTGCGAATAGATGCATTTGAGGTGTTAAAGGATTTTCAAAGTTAATTCGTGTTTTTTTTTCAATAATAGGAGGCCGTCCTCCGGCGGAAACACTGCGACCTATGAGGCCTATTGTGTTTGCCCCCTTTCTATATCTGCACCCATTCTCCTATCCCTGTGCACTGCACTAACTTATGCAGGTTCTTGATAGGATGGGAGCTAGTTCCTCCGGTTCTAGCCTAGCTTTCCCAAATAAATAGTGTCGCTTGCGATCCAGAGCCTCGCAGTGACATATGATGTGCTCCGCTGTCTCAGGATTTTTTATCGCAGAGTCTGCAGCAAAGACTTCCTTGATACAGGTTGAGCTTGTTCAGGTTGACAGCCATGTGTCCTGTCAAGAGGCCTGTTTTAATCCGCACTTTATTCCTGCTAAATATTAACAGTTTTTTTGCGGTTTTAGAGCTAGGTTCTTGGATAAACGCATTGCTGTGCCTGTGCCCCTGTCTGTTTCTCCAGTGGACATTCTGCTTTTCCCTGATCCAGAATTTTAGTGCACTACGGGCCATACATTTGGGTATTCCCAGTACTGGCTCTGGACCAAGATAGGATGTCGATGATCCTTGCCTAGCTAGCTCATCGGTTTTTTCGTTGCCTTGGATGCCGCTGTGGTCCGGCACCCAGAATAATTTAATTCTGTAAGAATTAAATTAATTCATGTAAAAAATGAGTAGTAATAGTGTTTATGATTTATTTAACTTCATTGTCTTTGAAAAAATATACTATTATTGTCTGTTGGGCAGTTATTCTAGCAGATATGGTTTTAAGTCCAAAAGTTGATCTCTACCATGATGAATTAAAGCATGCAATAGCCGATACTTCAAAACTTAAAACCATCTCTACTAAAGTAACTAATAATATGACTTTTCAATGACAGTGGCATTACAAAAGTAATAAGCACTATATAGACAGTTTGATTTTTAATTTAGAAGGAGATACTAAAAAGTCAAATAATTTAGCTACAAACTGCTTAAAAAATCATCAAAATCGGTCCACTAGAACAAAATATATTGAACTTTAAAATATATCAATATTTTAAGGTGCCCGTTTTTCGTGCCGGTGAATGTAGTATTAAAATCTAATTTCTTGTATTTTATATACACGTTGCTTTTAAAAAGCACTCTAATTACCACCTATCTTCCGGAAGTGCTTAAAAATAAATTTGTATTTCTTTCTGTTGAGAAGACCGGTCTGTTTTTCCTCTTTGCTAATCTTATCTGTTGTTTTGCTTTTCGTTTTCGAAAAACCTTAATTGCTTTTCTAGTCGGGAGTACGTTGATCTTTTAAATATTTACTTTTATATACCTCTACAGGTCTATTTCGATTACGCTATGCTACGAAAATAGTTCAAATATAAACTAGAATCATATTAAATTTCAATTTTTAGTAACTTGGGCAGATGAAATGGCCAAACAAGGCTCATCAGTGCCATTCAGAGACCTAGAACCTTTCTGAGACGCTGCCAAAGCAATCGCAAGATTAGCCACGAAACAGTAGCAGGCCATCAAATCTCTACAATGGTGGATAAACTCATCAGAGCAAAGACACGGGTGAAAAAGTTCATAGTATAATTCGCCAAATTTTACGGCAGACCTTATAAGCAAAGACAGAAAGACAGTCAAAGCTGTGGTGGATCTACTAACAGCACACTGTAATCTTAATAGGCATCTAAAGCTAATGGGATTGTCGGAGAAAACCTTGTGAGGGTTCTGTAAACCTGGCAAATGAGCGGTTCTGGAGGTTCTGGAAGCTATATGGAGGGTTCAGTCTCCAAGTTGCAAAATTTTTTGAAAAGGATAGAACTGGAGAATCAGACAATACGAAATCGAACAGGAGTAAGAGATGCGGTGATATCTGTCTTACATCTTAAATGGAATTGGGCAGGACATGTCGCTAGGATAACAGATGGACGGTGGACAAAGAAACTTGTGGAATGGAGACCAAGACGCGAGGCTATAGAAGCAGAGGACGACCTCCTAGTCGATAGGCTGGAAACTAGATTCAAATGGCACAAAATAGAAAGAAATGGCTAGAGTTAAGGGAAGCTTTTGTTCAGCAGTGGACGGTATACGCTAAATGATGATGATGATGATGTTCTACTTACATTGATTTATATATTTTTATTTTCAGAACCATGATATAGAAATAAAAATCTATATTTCAAATAAAAATATTTTGGAGCAACAAATAATGATATATAGAAGGGACATTAAAAATATGAAAGTACATTATTAAATTAAACCATGACTTTGCTTTTGCCAGACATTTTTTGTGCGAGAAAACCTAAAAACATAGATTTTAAGACAAAAAATGACGGAGATCGACATTGTTGATGGTTGTTTTCATTTCGAAATCAACACACAGATATAGACTATTTTAGATTGGTATTTTCTGGCATTTTCTTCACTTTGTGCTTTTCTCACAAACAGTGGCTGCTGAAAACGGGAAGATCTTGGACAAAAATTGCAGAAAATGTTTCGAACATTTCCTCTAAATCTATTTGTGGCATACTGTTTCCATTTTGTGCCAAGAAACGACACACATTATTAGAAACATTCTCTACATTCTAATCACTAATATTTATTAAATTACCAGTTGTTGGTTATATGGAATTAAACATTTTTGACCAAAAAGCTAATACGGTTAAAACACAATAATTACCCATTTGTAGAAGCTCTTTGGTCCATTTATTAAGGCAATACAAGTTTAAAAAAGACTTTTTCGTTCGACACTAAGAAAAAGGTCGACGGAAATTGTCCTCGAACGCAATAACGTTGTTTTTACGACGTTTCGAGGTGCTGCGGAAAGAAATATAACATTATCAGGCTCCGTATATCAAGTTGGGGAGCCCTTTACCGAAAACGGTGTCGATTTGCTTTGAACTATTGTGGCAATTTAGACGGTCAATTGAATTCTACCGCTATAACATTTTTCCAAGATAAATAAATCGATATGTGGTTACAATGGCTGTTTAAATTTATACTACAAAAAGGACAATATTTTTCAATCAAGAATACGAAAATTCTTGAAAATATATGCTTCCATTAAGATTTTGATAGTCTAAGAGCTAGCAACGTTTTCGAGAAAGTATTTTAAGACGT